AATAGAGGGGGGGGGGGGAAACCTTACACATTTTTTTAACATGGATCTGCAGAACCTCCTCTGCGTTGGCTCCATTCCTCTGGCAGAGTCAAGCAAGCTGAAGTGCTGCGACGGCATGCGGCGAGTCTCAGCGCAAGTGGAGCACCTCGACCTGATTGGCTCCTCACCTGAGGCTGGGTAGGCGGCTCGCTGATTGGCTGAGCGGTGCCGGGATGCTGCTTTCTCCTCCTCCTCCTTCCTCCTCCTCCCCCCCTCTAATGCTGCTCCAGCTATGATAATGATGGTGATGATGATGATGATGATGATGATGCTTCCTCCCTCCTCTTTGGGCTGCCTTCTGCTTCCCTAGCCTGCCTTCCCAAGCGCTGGAGAGGAGCCCAAGGTGGAAAGAGATTGCTTCCATTCCTCTTTTTTTCTCTTCTTTTTCTCTCTCCTTTTTCCTGGGCATGGCAAGCAGCTGCAGGATCTAGCTGGGAAAAGGCTCAGTGGCTGCTGCTCTGGGAACGTGCTTTAATAAATATATTAAATTTCTCTTAATTTTTTGGCAAGCTTCCTTCGGATCTCCCTCCTCCAGGTCTCTCTGCTTCGGAATCGAGGCACGATCCCAACACAACCGCAACCACGTTAACTTCCCAGAGGTCCGGGGCTTCCTGCGGAGCCAGGTAAGAGGAGAAAGTGCCCTTTATTCATCATCATCATCATCATCATCATCATCATCATCATCTTGGCAAGCCAACCCTGGGACAGGCTCTATCTACATAAAGTGAGAAATGAGCTGAAGGCACACAACAGCAACAGCAGCAACCACAATCCATCACAGATCCAGGTATAAAACAGTCCATTTGTTAAGTTTTTTGCCCCCCTGTTCTTTGGAAGAGCTAGGAAATCTGTCCCTTTCTTTGCAAAAATAACATTTAGGCAAAGAAAGGGACAGGTTTCCTTGCTCTTCCAAAGAATAGAAGAGGGGGAAAAAAAAGCTTTACCAATTTATACTGTGCATAAATGAAATTTAGGCATTTCTAGCTCTTCCAAAGAATAAAGGGAGAAAAAAACTGTGTTTCCATGATTTGTGTTGTGTTGTTGTTGTTGTTGTGTGCCTTCAGGTCTTTTCTGACCCATGGAGAGCCTATTGCTTGGCAAGGTTCTTTGTTCAGATTTGGTTTGCCATCGCCATCCTCTGAGGCTGAGAGAGTGTGGCTTGCCCAAGGTCACCCAGTGGGTTTCATGGCTGAGCTGAGAATCGAACTCCAATCACTATGCCATTCTGGGGGGTTGTTGTTGTTGCTGTTGTTGTTGTGCGCTTTCAAGTTGTTTCTGACTTATGGCGAGCCTGTCGCAGGATTTGCTTGGCAAGATTTGCTCAGAGGGCGTTTGCCTTTGCTTGCCTCTGAGGCTGAGAGAGTGTGACTTGCCCAAGGTCACCCACTGGGTTTGCATAGCCGAGCCGGGATCCGAACCCAGCTCTCCAGAGTCATAGTCCAAAGCTCAACCCACTACACCATGCTGGTGGGTTGTGTTGTTGTTGCTTTGTACCTTCAAGGACTTCTGGCAACCTGTCATGAGGTTTTCTTGGAAAAGGTTGTTCAGAGGGGAGGGTTGCCCTTGCCATCCTCTGAGGCTGAGAGAGTGTGACTTGCCCAAGGTCACCCAGTGGGTTTCCGTGGCTGAGCCGGGATTCGAACCGTGGTCTCCTGAATCCAGTGCTCAAAGAGAGACAGCGTTGTATAATAGTTAGACCAGCTTGCTCCCTCCTTTCTGCCTCACAACTTGGTGTCATTTTAGCTCTTGGATGGGGATTGAAGGACTACGTAGGGCTAAGGATTGGGAAAGCCCAGATGCCCACTTGCAATAAGTGACCTTGAAGCCAGTCACTATGTCTCAACCTTCACCTGCCTTGCAGGAGTGTTGTGAGGATGGCTGACAGAGAGCTAAATCCTGCAATGCTCCCTTTGAGCAGTTTAAACACCTGCCAGGAAGGTCGGAGATGCCCAGACAACTTAGTTATGGGACAGTCTGAAAAATAATGGAAAATATTGTAATGATAATAATGGGAATAAATGGGGGTAAGGATGATGCCAGGGTTCCTTCTGCAAGAGGTTTGCCCCAATCCAAGAGAGAAGAGAGAAGGGTGAACTCCTTAAATTTTGAACCCACTTCTCCACCAAGGACTCTTAGCTGTTGGCGACTTATTCCATCTGTGGGCACATCATTCTCCCCGACCTCACTTTATTTTTAAATTTTTAAATTATTTTATTAAGTTTCCTAACATATAACGACAAATAAAAACACATAGACGCACCAAATCGTCGGACAAACATAAAACGGATTTTAAAAAAAATCCTTGCATACCTTGACAAACATATTTACAATTTCTTTTCTCTCTTATACTTATGAACTTTATGCCCCCCTTAACTAAATCCAGGACCATCGTTCCTCTCCCATTCCTAGCTTCTTCAGCTCTTATTCTTTTCACATTCTATATCTTTTGTCTACCTCTGTTCATACAAATTTCGTTGCTTATCTTCCTTACAAATAAATTATTTTCTTGTGGATTGTTTACCCTACAGTTTTATGGCGTCTGTATTTTCCATTTCGTCCTAAGAGCCATATGTAACCTGGTGTTTAAAAGTCAGCTTACTATGTTTCTTCTCACATACAGCTTCATATAT